GCTCTGATTATCCACTTCTCAGTTTCTGACAGAACCCTATGCTGAGATATAGGACCACATCTTCAAGCATGAATGTTCATCTAGTCCTGGTGATAACTTTCTCTTTTCTGGGTGCTTTAAGCACATGCTAAAGTTGCATCGGGTTAATGAAGCTGCATCTTAAAATTAAGCATATGTATGAGTACTTGGCTGAAGGAATCAAGGCCTAACTGAAAAAGCCAGTTTCTGACAGAACCCTATGCTGAGATATAGGACCACATCTTCAAGCATGAATGTTCATCTAGTCCTGGTGATAACTTTCTCTTTTCTGGGTGCTTTAAGCACATGCTAAAGTTGCATCGGGTTAATGAAGCTGCATCTTAAAATTAAGCATATGTATGAGTACTTGGCTGAAGGAATCAAGGCCTAACTGAAAAAGCTCAGAAAGAAAACCTATAGCACTACCAATTAGCCCTCTTCATGAAAACACATCAGTCCTCCATCACATGGAGAATAGACTATGTGCAATCTGATGCTTTAATAGAAAAAAAAAAACATAATTATAACACAGTCCAATTAGTGAATAAGAATCAATGACATTTTCCATTCAATAACATTGGTAGGTTGAAGGTTGCACGCTGTGTACTAAAGTAATAGAGCAATTAGTCCAAATGTTAAAGGTAGTTCCCACCAGAAAGAAATGCTGAATATTAGGGCCTTCTAATAACTAGGGCCAAATGAACAGTAATGCAGAACAAACTGCCATCTGTCATTTCTGAAACAGGAGCCAAGTCTAGCACTCCAGTGAGACAAAGACCAAGAGATCAAGGCTGGTGGTTTAGCCACTACTGATTTTCATTTTTCTGCTGTAAAAGCTCCTGTTCTGCAAACAGATCAAGATTTAAATGAATTCCTTAAAAGATTTGACCCTACTGGCACCTGTCGCCCCTCTTTTTTCTATTATTTTTTTTTTAAATTAGCCTTTTTAGTGATTCTCATGTAGGCACAACACTCTTAGAAAATATTACATTGCTAAGAGTTGCATGGAAAGATTGAGACTTTTACCGATTTTTGCTTAATTTTGTGAAATAGCAAGTCCTTTCACCTATCTAAATGCAAAGCATCTTGATCACTGTCCTCCTCCTGAAGTAGAGCTGTTGTGATTAGAACTGGTTGATTTTTAAAAATGGACAAAAAGGGAGAGGACATTTCATTCAAAAAGCCACACAAATTCCCCTTTTGAGGGTACATTCTAGTTGCTGTGTCACACAGAGTCACAAGAAATCAAGTAAAGTGTCTGATCTAATGGCTAATTTGTCCCATAAATTCTAAAAATAGTGTAAAATAACTAATCTAGTTAATTAGGAAGGAAATTGGATTTTGTAGGTGTTTCAAAACCTCATTGCCTAGTTAATACAAAGGATTGGGACTCAGGACTCTTCTTGGGTTCTGTTTCTGTCACTGAACTGTGATCTAGATTTGAGAAAATCCCTGCATCTTTCTTTGCTGATTTTCCCTAAAGGCTTTCCAAGCATATTCTGAGCCTTTGTTTAGTGCTGGATTGCTAGATGGAAAGAGAACACCACCATTCTGCACCTAAGTACTAACAGACAGTTCCACAAATAGCTACCATTAACATCCCTCTAAACAAAGGGAATAAAGCTGTAACGTGTAGAGTCTGGATATACTTAATAGATTCGGAAATAACAAAAATGCGAGAAGAATGTGTTATGAACATCACCAGTCCGCACAGGCCCCTTAAGCCCCCAGACTACTATCACCACCTTATTTTCCTGACAATCTCATGTCAATCTGTCTTTTCTTTAGGATTTCTGTCTTATTACTTTAATATGTGATACATCACATGCTAAAAGGTAACAACTATACATGAAATAAAAAGAAACAAATATATCAGGCTAGATTCTCCCCTGGGCTTCTGTCCTTTTGCGTTATTCTAGCGGTGCAAAGAAGTTGGAAAGCAGCCAGATCTGGCCAGCTAAAAATTCCCCTGATGTGATGGGGCTGTCAATTGTCTCAGACCCAGCATGGTTTGTTCCTGCATCACTGCCTCTAATGCCAGTAGCATGTTAGGAGTGGAAACACATAAGCGGGAAAACGGTCTGAACACGCTAAGCTCCAGCCGTTCCCAGCTCATGTATGGCCCCTGGCCTACATTTCCATCTAGCATAGGTTCAAGTAATCGTTAGCCCTATTCCAGCACAGACTGGTCTAGCTAATCATGGATTCACAGCTGGGTCTTTGATGGTGATCCTGCTCTCCTATGTTGAGCAGAAATCCGTGCAGGAGAGAATTTCTTTCTTTGAATTTAGTTTTATTCTTGAAAGACTACATATGCTATAAACTTAAAAAACAACAAATAGTCTGGTAGCTCTTTAAAGACTAACAAAACATATAGATGGTATCATGAACTTTCATGAACACAGCCCACTTCTTCAGATGACCAGAGTGTTGGATGTCCAGAAAAAAAACTGTTGGGGAACACCAAAAAAAAAAAAAAAGCGAACACCCCACCCCCTACAACTTTTGCCATTTTGTTCAGACCACAGCAGCAGGTTTTTTTCTGGACATCCAACACTCTGGTCATCTGAAGAAGTGGGCTGTACCCAGGAAAGCTCATGATACCATCTACGGGTATGTCTACACTAGCTTGTTAGTTTGAGCTAGGTAGGCAAATGAGGTCAACTGGAGTTGCAAATGAAGCCCGGGATTTAAATATCCCGGGCTTTATTTGCATCTTCCCGAGCACCACCATTTTTAAATCCCCCTTAGTCCGAACTCTGTGCCCGTGGCTACATGCGGCACAGAGTAGGTAGTGGAACGAGGTGTACCGGTAGTTCGAATTAGAGATCCTAATTTGAACTACCTACTCCGTGCCACATGTAGCCATGGGCAGGGAGTTCGGACTAAGGGGGATTTTAAAATGGCAGTGCTCGGGAAGATGCAAATGAAGCCCGGGATATTTAAATCCAGGGCTTCATTTGCAACTCCGGTTGCCGTCATCTGCCTACCTAGCTCGAACTAACGAGCTTGTGTAGACATATCTTACATGTTTTGTTAGTCTTTAAAGTGCTACCAGACTATCTCTTGTTTTTTAAGTTTATCCTGTACAGACTAATTCGGCTACCAGTTGAAGCTTTTAAACTTTTAAATGTTCTTGAAAAGGGGATAAATAGTGAGATGGCAAAATTTGCAGATACTACAAAATTACTCAAAATAGTTAAGTCCAAAGCTGACTGCAAAGAGTTACAGAGGGATCTCCCAACACTAGGTAATTGGGCAACACAATAGCAGATAGAATTCAGTGTTGATAAGTGCAAAGTATTGCACATGGAAAAGTATAATCCCAACGATGCACACAAAAATGATGGTATCTAAAATAGCTGTTACTACTCAAGAAAGAGATTTTGGAATCATAGTGGATAGTTCCCTGAAAACATCTGCTCAATGTGCAGTCTAAAAACTAAAAAGCTAACAGAATATTGGGAATCATTAGGAAAGGAATAGATAAGACAGAAAATAGCATTTGCCTCTATATAAAGTCAAGATATGCCCACATCTTGATTACTGTATGCAGATCTGGTCACCCATATAAAAAAGGTATATTTGATTTGAAAAAGGTACAGAAAGGCCACAGAAATGAGTAGGGGTAAGGAACAGGTTCCATATGAGGACAGATAACAAGACTGGGACTTCTCAGCTAGGAAAAGAAATAACTAAAGGATGGGGGGATATGTTAGAGATCTAGAAAATCACAAATGATGTGGACGCCCATCCTCACCCCTATCCCACTCCTTGGTAACCCCCTTCTGCACATTGAACCCCTCATTTTGGTTTCACCCCAGAGCCTGGGGGGTTCACGAAATCTAACCCTGGGACTCAAAAGGAGTTAATCTGGCCTACGGGAGGCCCTGAAGGTTGGTATTCCCTGCCTCCTTTTACCTCGCTCCCGCACTGTAGGGCCGGAGCGCCAGATATCTCTGTTGAGGCCCACATCAGTGAGACTTGAGGTTTTTTTTGGGGGGAGTTGCCTCTCACTTGTGTGGCCCCCAACTGATTTTTCTGTAGATCAGTTGAATTTCACAAAATTGCAGATTTCCGGGGCACAGATAACGCCTTGAGTACCACCTACCAAAGCGCCACCCTTGTGCCTGCTGCTTGTTGAAACTTGTTTCCTCTGTAGATGTGGAATCAAATGAAACTTAAAAAAAGCTGGCCAGGTCCATTTTTGCCAAATGCCAAGCACTACGGAATAAAACTGAACACTCAACTATTGGAGCAGAAATGGTGAAAGCAGAATGCAAGCTATAGTTCATTCGGCCAAGCCAGTAAGTAGTGGTTTTGTGCTTTCTATTTTTCCGTTTGGAAAAACAACTCCTGGTCATTCTGTATTTAACTTGATTAACCATGTCTATTAACTATTTTACAGGCTGAATCCAGCAGAGCTGGTCTCCTTAGCAGAATATGCCATAGTCATGGGCCCAGTGGCAAAGGCACTAACTATTTTCCAAGCAGAGACGAGCGCACGAATGGGATAGTTGCTTCCTACACTATACCAGCTGGATTCAAAACTGTAAAGATTGAAGATGTCCTCCAAGTTCTGTAGGCCACTGGTAGATGCACTTCAGCGTGTTATTAAGAAGCATTTTGCTGAAATGTTCGAGGACCCGGAGTTGATCACAGCTGCCATCTTGCTGCCAAAATTTAAGACTGCTTGGACCAAGCATGATTCTGTGATTAGAAAAGGTAAGAGATAGAGTTAAAGCAGTACAGCCTGTCAGTATAGGCTCTGCCATGAAATATAGCTGCAATAGGCTGACAGAAAGTTTTCAGTTTGACTGGTTGTTTTTAGATGAGCATGTTTTTTACCTACTAGCTAATATTTATATGTTAAAAATAAAACATGAATGTTTAATTCATTTGTCACGTGTTTAGTTCTACACTGAAATGTTATGAGGGGAGAAGGTTTATCCTTGGATTGATTTAAAAGAGCCAACTAGATCTGATAGCTCTTTAGTTGGCAGCACAATTTTTCTGTAATGTTATTTATTTAGTTACATAACTAACTCTAGTTTTTATATTAGTTCTCATTAATTTATTTTCCAATATAGGTCCTGACTATCTCCGACAAAAGATGGAGCCCCTACAATAACTGGTTTTACCATAGATTTCCATAGGACATCTACTTTTTACTTCTGGATACTTGAGTACAATTAAGATGCGATACTTTTGTACTTTTACTCAAGTAGTTTTCCAGAAGGATACTTTGACTTTTACTTAGTTACATTTTTTTCAAAGTAGCAGTACTTTTACTCAAGTAACTTTTTTGGGTACCTTTTCCTCCACTGTTGATTACCAGAATGTTTACTAGAACTTTTCCCCTCCAACATCCCCTCAATCTGGATTTTAATTCTAGTAATCACCAAGCAGAAACAAGGACCCTAAAATGAGACTGTTCAGCTCAGTTTTTAAAAACATAGGAGTAATATCTAGGGCTTTTTTCAATTTAGGACAGACCTTCATTAGGAACACGTAGGCTATGTCTACACTCGCGGCTTCTTGCGCAAATATGGCCGTTCTTGCGCAAGAAACCGCAGAGTGTCTACACTGCCCACCCGCTCTTGCGCAAGGAAATTTACAGTATGGCGTGGTAAGAGAGGGCTTCTTGTGCAAATGCTACTCTCTTTTTTAACAGATGTAAGCCCTCTTGCGCAGGAGCTCTTGCGCAAGAGGGCAGTGTGGACGCTCGGCAGGGATTTCTTGCGCAAGAAAGCACTATGGCTAAAATGGCCGTCAGAGCTTTCTTATGCAAGAGAGCGTTCACACTGCCATGGGAGCTCTTGCGTAAAAGCACAGCATGCACATGGCAGTGTGGATGTTTTCTCGTGCAAGACTTCTTGTGCAAGATGTTCTTGTGCAAGAAGCCGCGAGTGTAGACATATCTCCATTGTCTTATTCCTACCCCCTTTAGCTTTTGCTTGGATTTGGCATCACTACCCTCTGTTTAGTGAGTGCAGTTAAAATAAGCCCTTAAGTAGGGCTTGTTAAATACAGTGCTGCTGCCCTTTAGTCATGCAAGTTAACATTTAATTACCCCTTGCATTCAAGTCCAAGTGAATTTTAACCCAAAGTGGCTAAAACTGACCACTTTGGCAAATCAAAGCAAAGCAAATCCATCTGCTGATCACCTAGGCAAAGTATGTTTATCTATGAAAATATGCTCCTGAGACCTTCAGTTCATCAATGGATGGCAGAGAAAATTTCATGAAGACCATGACTTACATAAAAGCAAAACAAATTAAATTGTATTACAGTGTGAGTAAAATCTCCTATATTACAGTCAAATCAGACAAAAAATCCTAACACTATAATTACATAAAAGCATCATGTGGAGGTGTGAATACATGTACTATATACACTAGTGTTCAGCTCACTGCTTTCTTTCTGACCATTTTTTTCATGCATGTCCACAGCAAATGCAATAGTGTTTTAGTTTCTCTCTCATCTCCACTTTCTACTTAAGCTTTCATTCATGAGAGTATCCAACGTCTATGGAAAATTAGTACAGTCTGCTGAAATATTAAATCAAGCACAACTATTTTTGTTTAAATAGATTTCATAGTTGCTCCATAAATAGATGTGCAAGATCTTTGTTCCAAATTTTATCTGAGATATAGCCACAGTTTAACTGGAGATAAGAGTAGACATATGGTAAATATTGGGTTGTAATAAATCTACAATGTAATTTTGTGTGTATTCAAATGATATATATGTAGTCTCCAAGAGTTAATGTGTAAAATAATTTCACAATTTATCGACTGTATGACAATGAAATATTTGACACATATTCTACTCTGATTCATACCTGTGTCAATCCAGAGTCATGGGGTTCAGTGGAGTGACAGCAGATTTACACTCACAGCAGAATTTGTGCTTGTTTACTGAGAATAATGGATTGCCCAAAGCACTCCAGCTGTACTGATGTATTTGAAAATGATGTATACAATTAAATTGGCTGCAGTTATACAGTTTCCTCTGGAACCAGAGCAATTAAATATACTTTACAAATAGGATCTTTGTAACAGAGTTGTATACACTCATTTTCAGTATCTTAGGGTATGTCTACACAGCAAAGTTATTTCAAAATAACAGCTGTTATTTCGAAAAACTTTCCTAGCATCTACACAGCCAATTAAATCTACACAGAAATTAAATTGAAATATCAGAGCGCTTATTTCGAAATTGGTAAACCTTATTCCCCAAGGAATAGCACCAATTTCAAAATTGCTATTTCGAAATAAGTGCTGTGTAGATGCTTATTTCAAAATAGGGGGCCTCCAGCCCTTCCCAGGGTGCCCTGGTGGCCACTCTGGGCACAACCAGGAAAACTCCTCTCCCTCCCCACTCCCCAGAGCCCTTAAAGGGGTAGAGTCTGGCCACAGTGCCTGTGCTAGCTCCAGGCCTGCCAGCCCAGAGCCAGCAGTCACTGCCCCTGACCCAGTGGCCCCAAAACATGAGCCAGCAAGCCACCGGCAGCCAGCCCTCCACCGCTCCCCAGGAGCAGTCCCCCAGCTCTCAGGAGCCTGCAGGGGCCGGAAAAAGTGGGTGCCTTCCTGGTCCAGGGCAGAGATCATGGACCTTATTCAGGTTTGGGGGGAATCCTCCAATGTCCATAATCTCTGCATTAAATGGAGGAATGCGGCTGTCTATGGCAGGATAGCTGCCAGCCTGGCCAGCAAAGGCCACATCCGCACCCAGGAGCAGGTGTGGATGAAAATAAAGGAGCTTCGGCTGGCATATGCCAGAGCCACAGGGGGCAGCTCCCAACCAGAGGCAAACCCACACACCTGCCCCTATTCTGATGCCCTGGACCGCATCCCCCCACACTACATACACCACAGGGGCATGGTGTGGTCTCGAGGCAGCTTTCATTCCCGGGGATAGCAGGACATTCCGAACATGGCCTCTATGCAAGCACATGGGCTCTGATGGTGCAGGGAATGATCATCCTCACCTTGCAGAGTGGGGCAGGGCTTCACCCACTGTGTCCCCAGGGATAACTGACCACTTCTCTTGTTTCTCCATAGCCGCACCAGCTGTGCGTGCAGGGAGCACCACCCTGCCCGGGACATGCTCCCGTACCCGAGGGCTCCGCAGGACCACCCGTGCAGTGGAGGGGTACCAACAGCAGCACCTGGGGGCACTGCGAGCCCTGCACTGCACTCTCCAGCCCTGGGTGCAAGAAGACCTGAAGCTCCGGTGAGAGCAGCTTGCCCAGGGCTGTGCCATTTGCCAGCACCCGCTAACCCTGCTGCAGAGCATGCTGCCTCCTGCCGCTCCTGCGCCTGCTGCCTCCCCCGCTACTGCTCCTCCTCCCACTCCTTCTCCCCCTCACGCTTCTCCCTCTACCTCCTCCACACCTTCCATCCCCCCAGGGAGGCCGAGGCCCCTGTATCCACGGTGCTGGGAGACAGTTGGCTCAGCGAGACCCCCAACCCTGAGCTTCCCCTCTCCCTCCTTGCCCTTGCTTCCCCATTCCAGCTCCCTCCTCCCAGGTTTCACAAGGCATACCGGAGCGGTAGACAAAGGCTTCCCTTGTCGACCGCACCACGTCTAGACTACCACACTGTGCCGGATCAGTTGATCATCAGCACAGCGTGGTGGCCATTTTTATTTTAATGAAGCGGGGATTATTGAAATCCCCGCTTCTTTGACTGTGCCGAGTAAACTATTTGACATGGCTCCGTCGATGGAGCCATGTAGTCTAGACGTACCCCTAAAAAGAATGACTCAGGTTTGGGAATCTCCCCAATATCCTCAGCCATGAAGACTGAAGCAAAGAGTTAATTTAGCTTCTCTGCAATGACTTTATCATCTAGGAGTGCTCCTTTAGCATCTTGGTTGTCCAAGGGCCTCACTGGTTGTTTAGCCGGCTTCCTGCTTCTGACGTACTTAACCCATTTTGTAAATAAAGAGAGTTTGTATTTATTAAAATATGTGTATTTTATTTTACACCAGGAAGGGGGTTAGAGAGAGGTAAGTGGAAGGACGTGAGGGAGGAATGAGGCACAAGCCCCCAGTGGGGCAGACCAGGGAGGTTGTTAGTGATCCTCAGGGTGGAAGATCTCCCTCAGGGCCTCCTGGATACTGACAGGCCCCTGATGGACCTCCCGAATGGCAGCCTGCAGTAAGTGCAGCCAGACTCGCAGCAACGCATCCAAGAGAAGCACCAGAGTGCCCAGGAGCAGCTCTAGCTCCATGTTGCAGAGTGCTGTGATGTCCCGAGTGAGGGCAATCAGAGCACGCCAAGACAAAAATGCTTTGCTGTCCCTCATTGAGGTAGACAAGCAAGCAGGGAAACCTGAGAACTGGCTGTCCGAGGGGAGGGGCCGGGGGGAGTGCTGACCTCAGTTAGCCTCAGCCAGCAGCCCCACACAGTACGTCCTGACCTGGTGCCCTGCCAGAACTGGTTTCGTCCAGTCTTAAATGTGATTCAGAGTCCACTCAGTGTGGACGCGCGCTATTTTGAAATAGCAAAATTTTATTTCAAAATGCATTTTGTGTGTAGACGCGTTATTTTGAAATATTTTATTTTGAATTAACTATTTCAAAATTAGATATTTTGAAATAACGCTGCAGTGTAGGCATACCCATAGTTGATAATATTTTACAAAGATTTCCAGGGACAATTCTGGAAATAAGGCAAGAGTTTGAAGGCAGGTAGGCTATGTCCACCAAAAGACCTGCTGACATGAATTTTAAATAAGTATCTTAATTCAGGATTTAAAAAGTTTAGATAAGGATCCAGACGTGTGGAATGTCCAGCAGGAGAGTAGCAGGATTGTTCTTATGTGTAAAGAAATCTAGGAAACTAGGGACTTGAAGCGGGACACTAGAGCCTTGAGCATTCCATACTCAGTCAAATAAAGCACTTAATCAGGTGCCTGACCTTAAACATGTGAGTAACTCCATTGGCTCCGATGGTACTACTTATGGGCAAAGTTAGGCACCAGCTTGATTGCTTTGCCGGATTAAATCCAAATCTTGGGTGGGTTTCAGGGATGAAGAGTAACAGGTAGATGTTTCGCATCAATATTAAAATGGAGAACAGCACAAAGCTGTCAATTTCTGCTGTTCTTGCTACCATTTTTTCTGATGCCTCAGAGAGCCCACACAAATTGTAAGCACTGCCTCTCATAGAATCATAGAATACTAAGTCTGGAAGGGACCTTGAGAGGTCATCAACTACAGTCCCCTGCCCTCATGGCAGGACCAAATATTGTCTAGACCATCCCTGATAGACATTTATCTAACCTACTCTTAAATATCTCCACAGATGGTGAATCCATAACCTCCCTGGGCAATTTATTCCAGTGTTTAACCACCCTGACAGTTAGGAACTTTTTCCTAATGTCCAACCTAAACCTCCCTTGCTGCAGTTCAAGCCCATTGCTTCTTGTTCTATCCTCAGAGGCCAAGATGAACAAGTTTTCTCCCTCCTCCTTATAACACCCTTTTAGGGTATGTCTACACTACCCCCCTAGTTCGAACTAGGGGGGGGTAATGTAGTCATACGGAGTTGGAAAAGAAGAATGCGGTGCCCAGAACTGGACACAATACTCCAACTGAGGCCTAACCAGCGCAGAGTAGAGCGGAAGAATGACTTCTCGTGTCTTGCTCACAACACACCTGTTAATGCATCCCAGAATCATGTTTGCTTTTTTTGCAACAGCATCACACTGCTGACTCATATTCAACTTGTGGTCCACTATAACCCCTAGATCCCTTTCTGCCGTACTCCTTCCTAGACACTCGCTTCCCATTCTGTATGTGTGAAACTGATTGTTCCTTCCTAAGTGGAGCACTTTGCATTTGTCTTTATTAAACTTCATCCTGTTTACCTTAGACCATTTCTCCAATTTGTCCAGATCATTTTGAATTATGACCCTATCCTCCAGAGCAGTCGCAACCCCTCCCAGCCCTCTGAGTCAAAAGAACTTATCATAATCCCCCTGTGCATGCTAGATGGGCTCGGCCAGTAAGGGTGCATCTACGCTGCACTCGGAGCCTGAAATAAGCTACACAATTTGAGTTACACCAATTGCGTAGCTTATTTCGAGTTAATTTCGAAATAGTTTATTTTGAAATGTGGTTCTGTCTACATCGCACTTATTTCTAAATAAATTGCTATTCCAAAACGTCCCTTAGGGTATGTCTACACTACCACCCTAGTTCGAACTAGGGTGGTTAATGTAGGCAACCGGAGTTGCAAATGAAGCCCGGGATTTGAATTTCCCAGGCTTCATTTGCATGTTGCCGGGCACTGCCATTTTTAAATGCCGGTTAGTTCGGACTCCATGCCCGCGGCTACACGCAGCACGGACTAGGTATTTGGATTAGGTTTCCTATTCTGAACTACCTGTACTCCTCGTGGAATGATGTGTACCTGTAGATCAGAATAGGAAGCCTAATCCGAACTACCTAGTCCGTGCCGCGTGTAGCCGCGGGCACGGAGCCCGAACTAGCCGGCATTTAAAAATAGCGGCGCCTGGCAAGATGCAAATGAAGCCCGGGAAATTCCAATCTGCCTACATTAACCATCCTAGTTCAAACTAGGGTGGTAGTGTAGACATACCCTTACTGCTCAGCTATGTCTACACTGCCCAGTCTTGTGCAAGAACAAATGCAAATAAGGTGTGGTGATGAATATTGCCATGCCTCATTTGCATACTGAATGAGCTGCCATTTTTGCGCAAGGGGCTTTTGCCCAGAAGGAGCATTCTACACTGCTCCTTCTTGCGCAAAAAACCCCTCTTGCGCAAGAGCTGTTCTGCTGCTTATTTTCAGGATAGGAGAGAGATAACAGTATTCACTCTTCAGGCTCTTAACTGATAGAGAAAATTTGGACATTAAGAGCCTCGTCCAACACACAGTGCCTGATTCAAAGCCCCATAACAAATTTTTACATATGTTTTCAAAATTGAGGGCTAAATATAATGTATTATGCACAGATAATTGCAGCTGTCAAATGTTTTCTTGACATCTAAAGAAATTCCTTTAACGCGTTCAACTGCATGTTGAAAAACAGTAACATAATCTATAACGGACTTACATTATTAGTGCTCAATCCGTTAAAAAACCTCCTTAGTTATGCAGTTTGATAAATGTAGGCACCATCTTTCTTAGTTTGCTAATCCTTGTGCTATTTTACAATCTACCTTTTCTAAATAAAATGAAGTCTAATGTGAACAGTGGGGTTATAATTTTAATTTGGGGGTTTTTAATTTAAATTAGTGATATTAGTGCAGCTCAGAGAGTTGGGGAGAGGACTCCGTGATTAAATGAGTTTTTGAATAGTACAATGAATGCTGATATTAGTGGGCTGGAGTGGTTTTATATAATTTTAAATACATTAAGATTCCCAGCACTCCATGAGTGCCAAGAGAGTAGCAACTCCATGAGTGCCAAGAAAGTAGTGATTGTGCTTATGAACATCTTTGCCTGTGTTGAGACCCTTGGGAAATCCTAACAGATCAGGGGACAAACTTTATGTCCCAGACAGTGCAGCAACTCTGCCGATTATAAAAAATCAAAACAGTCCAAACATCCGTCTACCACCCCAAATGGATGGTCTAATAGAGTGTTTCAACAGGACCGTGAAGTCTATGCTCCATAAGTTTGTCCCGACTGATCTGCGTCACTGGGATCAGCTCCTCCCATCCCTCATGTTCACAGTCTGGGAGGTCCCCCAGGCCTCTACAAGGTTTTTACCTTTTGAACTTCTGTATGGGAGGCAATCTTGTGGGGGTTTGGACCTAGTTTGGGAGATGTGGAAGGAACAGCCCTCCTGAGCCAATAACATAGTGCAGTACGTACAAAACCTCTGAGAGAGACTCAAAGCATTAGACACATTTGCTCAAGAGAACCTCTTACATGTCCAAAAGGCCCAGGAGGCAACTTATAATAAATGAGCAAGAGTTCCAGCCTGAGGGTAGGGTCCAGTTCAGACTCAAAACTCCTCACCTGCTGGCTGGGGCCTCATGAGGTGGTTCAGCGAGTGAGCCCGGTAAACTATGAGGTACACCAGCCTGACAAACGTAAAATTCAACACATTTATCGTGTAAATCTCTTAAAACCCTGGACAGCCCAAGAAGGGTTACTAATACCATCCTACCCACTGGACCCGGAACTGGTCCCCCTGGCAGATGATGCATCAAAACCAGG